CGCGGGGGACCGTCGGTTTTTACCGCCATTGAACGCGAATGACATTCTCGAATACTATTCTCCCGGGTGTTTCCGTAGCCCTCCGAAAGTAAAAAAATTAAAAAAAAAAGCCGCCACTCGTCGCGCGGACCGAACAGACTATATTTGACATTTTCTAGTGGCGGCCGGTCGGCGTACAACAAAATAATAATATTATTATTATTATTATTATTATATTATATCGCGATCGTGTTCACGAAATTACACCGTGTCACGCGACTTAATGCTCGCGGACTTTTATTATGTCGATTTCGAGTGGACCGCCTCCGCACTCACCGCCGTCGCTCCGACTTTCGGGGTCGTATTATTATATAGGTGCCTATATGGTTCCCCCCCCCCTCCCCCATTATTATTACGCCGTTATTGTCGTTATTATTGTTTTTCTACGCAAAGGTACTTATTATTATTATTATTATTATTCTTTGGCGTACGTACACACACACACACACACACACACGTCGCGCTTAGAAATTATATTGCACCGGGTGTAACTATTCTCGGCGCGCGCCGCGAGCACTCGAAACCCCGTCACGTCAATGTCCGCGCGGTTATCCGGTCGCGTCTTGTTGTTCGGCGCCACGTACGGAAATCGAGTACAATATTCACGTGTGTGTGTGTGTGTGTGCGTGCGCGCGTGTGTGTAACGGGGTACGCGAAAATATTGTTGTCGTGTCGAGAGGACGACAGCGGCCGGCGGTGGGAAAGCTTGTCGTTTTATTGTCGTGTATCACGTGATGATAATAATAATATGCGATTTGTGTAACGGAACCACTTTTTTCCATTCGCGTATCCGTTCGACCGGTCACCATCGCTTTACGGACCTCCAATTAATTGTCGTAAAATATAAAACAAGTAATTTCAATCATATACGACAGATTTCACTTTTTCCGTCATTACGCTTTTTCTTTCCGCGAACACCTAACACCTTCTCGCTCCCGGTTGTAAAACGCTGGTGCAATGGAACAATGCGATTTCGAACGGCACGCAAAGTCCACGGTGCGAAAACGGCTGAAAAAAAAAAAAACGAAATTGCCCGACGAGACGAAATAAAGTATCGTTCCGGCGCACTCTCAGTGTCCAAAATTCGGCGTTTTAAAACATTCGACGATTTAACCTCTTCATGCGCTGACGGTATCATATGATAACCACAAACTAAAATCTTATTTTAAGTAAGTCAAAATGAAAAAAAAAATAAAAAACGTTTATTTTTTTATTTTTCCCAACATCGATAGGTTTTGAGCAATTTCATTCTCAACTTAAATACTTTATTTCCAAGAAAAAGTCTCTCGCATGAAAAGGTTGAATATATTCTATTTTTTTTTTTTCGAATATTCGACTTAACCGGACGATAATTTACATTTTGAAACGTCGACTATCGCACGTGTACGGGAGGGACGCCGAATGGAAAATTATAGAGACCAGTAGAGACGATGTTACACCGCGATTAGATTTAATCGTGACGTTGTAACCAATGAAATCGTTATAGTTTACGTCTTTCCGCATACTCGCGAGAGTGCATTTTTGAAGTTTTTTTTACGGAGATTATTATTGGGGACGGCCGCCATTAATTTGAAGATATGAAAACGGAAAGAATTTTATTAGAAATAATAATAACGGTATAATGATAAACGAGACGCATATTCAAGTGACATAAAAAAAGGGTTATAAAACTACAACAATACATAATAATATAAGAGAAAAAGCCGATAAAAAGCTATACGACGTCAGAAGATGTTTCGTATTGTATATATATATTTATATATGCGGTTTTTATTTTTTTTGAAACATAAAACGAGCACAAAGGAATAATATTTGTTATTGAACGAGTAAAAATATGCTACGGATAAAATATTAAATAGATACGTATGACAGTATAACAAGAATAATAATAAAAACGATTTTTCAAGAACGTATATATTTTTGAAATTTATTTCAAGATTTGGATTTGAGTAATCGAACATCTACAAACATAAACAGGGATGTGATTTTAATTCGCGGACGTTCGACATTTTTCGTGTGTTCGCTATGGGCGTAAAAAAAATATGTACCTAATATCATTAAAAAAACGTTTCGATTTAGATATCTAATGACGTGTATTGATGGAATACGACGAACGCGAACTATAGGCACTTCCACCAACCCTCCCTCTCCCCGACAAAGAAACGCTTTTAACCTATTGAACGCACGTTGACGTGTGTAAGGACAAATAACGTAGGTAGAGTAAAACAAAAAAAAAAACAAAAAAATAAAAAATTGAAATATCAAAAAGAGCAACTTACAAAGAACTTAATATCCTAAAAGTCGAAAAAAATAAAACCAAATAAAAGTATATACTCCCGTTTTTCTGATTTTCTCGACTATAAGAAAAACTACAAGAAAAATCAAAAAACGATCATCCCAATACACCAACCACGTATAAAACGCAACAAAACAATTCTCAAAATGTTTTTTTTCTATTTATTTTCTGGTACACAGACAGAAAAAAATACATCATAGTAAAACCGATATGTTCCTCATTCCGTCCAGCATTCGAAAATATTGTACCTCAAAACGTTATTTCTCCGAAGTCTGTTTGACTTTACGTAGATGTGCTGTGCAGCTATGAATGCGATTTTATTCCCAACAATAGAAATTTTGCATAAAAAGTTACGGCTAATAGCCTACCTAAACGGTCAAAACGTTATGCATGCCAATTACTTTGAAGTTGTTAATAGACTTGCACTATAATATATATAATAGTATAATGGACCATTGTCCACGAGCTTCTTTCCGCTCCTCTCCCTCCCCTTTTCTACGTTAGACATTCGTACGCCTGTATACATTTCAGTGCGATTTACGGTTTGGTTCGTATGGCTCTAAAGAAACGACGTGTTTTTTTTTTGTTTTTTTTTTTTTGTTTTACTCTACCTACGTTATTTGTCCTTACACACGTCAACGTGCGTTCAATAGGTTAAAAGCGTTTCTTTTTCGGGGGGAGGGAGGGTTGGTGGAAGTGCCTATAGTTCGCGTTCGTCGTATTCCATCAATACACGTCATTAGATATCTAAATCGAAACGTTTTTTTAATGATATTAGGTACATATTTTTTTTACGCCCATAGCGAACACACGAAAAATGTCGAACGTCCGCGAAACTCTACAATATTAATATTGTCGTTTTGATCAATTTTCGTCTGTTTCGAAAAATCGAATAAACGATATTTTCTACAGGAGACGGTATACGATTCGCTACACATTATTACGTTGCTGGTGAGTAAATATTTTTGAACAATAATTTAAATGATTTAAGTAATAATAATGATGGCTAACGACGGTTAACACATACAAAACGTCCATAAATGTAATTTTATTTTCAAACTATTAATTTAAATTTTAAACTGATAATGCGTGACTATTTATATACCATTTATGATATACTATCTCGCTGTATATTTTTTATCCCGGGATATATTCCCAAAACCCATTCTGGCTGATATTGAAATTTTGGTATTTTTTTTTTATTATTTGCACGGGCGTTACCTTGACAACATACGGACGGACAAAATACTATTAGTACTTTATTCGATTTAGTTTCCACGGAAAAGGAATTGCTCTTTTTAAAAGGCAAGTTACCGGGCAACTGCAACGATTAACACGACGTGACAGCGGTAAGGGTGGCAACGGGTGTAGACGCGTTAAATTGAATTTATCGTATTGATTTTTGTCAAAAAGGATATTGAGCACGGCAAAATACTGAGTGGTACATTATGTAAATTGCGAGGGTCCTTACAAAGTTTAACAATTCGAGTAACGTGAATTATTTTGTTCTGTGTAAAACCGATAGCGATTCAACACCACGGCGCGGATTTATATATTGCGCAGTGTAAAATGAATAACCGATTTCCCACAGAGAAAAATGTCTATACGAAATACGAGTTATTATTCTCTTTTAAAAAAGTAAATAAACGTGTTCGAAAATCGTTTGTTAACGGTGTGAAAATCCCATACGGCGTCTTGAGTGAATATCGACCATGACCACGGTGGCTTTATCCGACTGCACGTGGTCTCGGTGTTCATTTTCTAGCGCAGTTGCACGGTATACATATAATTGTACGCATTCGGTTTAAATGGATTTTCGTGTCTTCGCATTGATATCCGATCGGTTTTATTTTTAAATATTTCTATAATGGTTTTATTTTTTTATTTTTGGCGTCGTCAACTCCCCGGACGGCGGCGACGGTTCGACCACCTGTCGTAGTTTCGGAGTTAAAATGCATAATATTATACGTATATACGCGCTTTTTTTTTTTTTTTTTTTTTTTCGGTTTCTAGTGTTTCGACAATTAACGCACGTCAACGACGAGAATGAAAAACGATATACCAGAACGGATTATTATTAGAAACGTGCGGAGCGTAATACACGACACTATCCACCGAGTCACTCAGTCTATTTTCAAAAAAAAAAAAAAAAAAAAAAGAGAGAAAAGTATAATACGTCGGTTCGAAATTTGTAATTATATTCTCGGAAATTACGAACGAACGCACCGTATTCTCGAACCGTTTTTCACGGATTTTCGGTATAATATTTTTCTCGATATCATGCGCTCGATGTTTTTCACCAATAAAAAATTGAAAGGATTGACAATATGATTTGCCAGTATAATGCGTAATACGTGTTCGGCGATAATTTTCGGTTTGTTTCGAAGACAATTCAATCCTGCAGCTGAATGCAACCGTTCAACAACAAAGGCTATAATAATTATTATTATAATATGGCATTGTAGTTTTCAGTGGCCCGGAACTTATGGCACTTGAACCCCAAAAAAAAACAAAAATCCCGTTATAACCATTTAAATAAGCACTCCGCATAAATAGAACATCCAAAAATAATAACTGTATTTCAAAAAAAATCGACTCCCCTCCCTCAAGATTAAAACGATGACACTCCCTCGATGACGACCAAAACGATTATAGTTAATAAATAATACGAATACGAGTCTGGTATTATTACTATAATCAGAATAATAACACTAGCGAAATTATTGTTTTCACACACTGCGGAAAAACTATGAAATTAAAAAAAAAATCGACGTTTTCGTGGTAGTCGTGATAATAATGGCCAAATCAAAAACGGTTATAGATAAAATATATCCTGGTAAAAATATCCGTTACATAGTAAAAATTACCAGAGGAAAAATTTGGCCATATACAAAATTAAATGTCATTTTAAATATCCAATTTTTACACAACCATTTTTGTGTTTGGCCACTGTCGATAAGTAACAAAAATAGAAAAAAAAAACGCGCTATTTGATTTATAGAAATAATAACTAAATTATCTTTTCGCGATAGCGAAATCCGCATACAATAACGACCCAAACAGTCGTTGGTTTTTAAAGTTAATTAATAGTCAGTACCTATGCAACTGGCGTTGTGTTCACGTTTTGCTGCGTAAACGTAATTAAATTCTGTCCGTTTTTTTTTTTTCATTTTGTCAGCCTAATCAGCTCCTTTCCGTGTTACCACGAATAAACGCCGTGATATGAACGCGGTTAAAAAATTAGACTTTTAAACTTTAGACCTTCAAATTAGGCAAACTTAATCTGTAAAGTAGTACTCGGCAGTATTTGTATAATTATCGAAGACGGGAAAACTCAATCAACTATGTTTAGTTTTATATCAAAAATGAATCGAGTAATATTTTTTATTTAAACACATAATCAATTACATTTTTTTCAATCTTATATATCAATTAAACACAATAAGTATATTTAAATTATTTCCGTTTTTGCACATATTATGCTGTATTTTTTTATGGGGTTTACTGACTCATTCGGTTAATCGACTCAAATTGTCTGGTCCCAAAGTTAGTCTCTAATAAGCGGCGACCGCACACCTATCAGTATCTTTATCGTTCGTATTATTTTCGTGAGTGCATTTTTTAGCATGAAAAACATTATCGTTATATGTTTTTAAAACAATATGAACAAATTAAATATAACAAATCTAGGAAACGCTACGGGTTTATATCAGTATATCACGATTAACACTTTTCGAATATTCAGTGTAGCCAATAAATGCGTACTAAATTTTTACACGACTTTAAGAACTTTATTTCCAATAATTACACTTGTCAAATAATAGTTTATCAATATCGACAACGCGGTATTGAATTATAGCAGATAAAATTCCGCACCGCGTTGGCAGTCATTTCGCCAGTATTTTAAAATTCCAATTTCCAAAATTAAAAGATGGAATAATTTGATTATTTACCAAGTCTGTAGAAAATGTTTATATTACACGCACGTGCGACCTCAACCCTCGAAATACATGCAATTTCATTCAAGATCAAATTTGGTCTATAGAATCGATTAGATTTTGAAACGCCGACATCTCAAACCCTCACGTCGGTGCATAAACTCGGTGTGAACATGGAAACGCGAAAACACTACGGATGGAAAAAAACAGAACGACCGGTAAAAACGGTTTTTTATTTTTTTTTTTAAAATAGCCGAACACTACAGCGCCGTATAGGCACACCGTACGCATAGGTAATAGCGTCCGATACTCGGCGTGATTTTCTCACGTACGCCCGCCAAATTAGCCGAACCGTTTTGGCGGTCGCGTCTCGAAACGGTTTGCAGTCGTTTTGTTGTTGTTTTTTTTTTTTTTTTTTTTTTTTTTTTTTTTAATAATACGCGCGTGACCGTTTCTGGTCGCGGCGATACACCGACGCGGGCAGTTGTATACGCGCGCTAACGATCCGGATCGCCAAATAATATTATTCCGAAGAACAAACGCGATTAATTGCCCGCATTGTACACAACGCCGCGCTGTATTGCCGTCGTCCGCGTGTTTATTGTAAGACAGCGCGCGAAAAACCGCCGGAGTCGGAAACCGCGGCGGGCACGCAACAGGCAGGCGCCGGCGTTTCGGGTCCGCCGAACAGTTTTTTAGCCGAGGCCACGCGCGCGTGCGCAACGCGTCGTCTAGGCCACGGGCCTCGGCAATATACCCGTGCGTAATACAGAATGCACGGTGTTCCCCGAAAGAGCCTATTTTTTAAACTCGCGGACGGCGGCTCCGAACAACGCGTGAATGGCGTTTCGTTTCGATAATAATCTCCCGTGTCCGTTCGAATAACGTACGGTGCGCGTTGAAGGTACTCGTCGAGTACGCACGTGGACACGCGAAAACTGATCGCAATTGTGTATGAAAAATAAAAGCGCGAACAACCGATCGTTAAGCGAATAAAACATGTAATTTTATTCTAAACAGTATTTGTGTTGAACAAAACGAACAAAAAAAAAAACAATTATCCTATTTATAAACGCGAAAGTTTTTTTTCGGACGACGGTCGGATGTCCGTTATCCATTCACACTAAAACTACAGAAAGGATCGAACTGAAACGTCGCATAGACGCCAGTTCTAGACTGTAGATAGGAATAATAATGTTATTAATTATTTTGACACGAGCAACGTACGGGCGGAACAACCAATTCTGCGCGCATTGTGAATATATTCAATGTCTGTGTTTCAATATTGCATTATAGATACGGAAGACACAAATGTTCGGACTTCGAGTTGTGACGGAAAATAACTTGCAGCGTTGAATACTGGATAGCGAATCATACGAATTGAACAAATACGAATAAAAATAAACGCGAATAAGTTAATCGAATGAATAAAGAGTATAATTTTTGATTCGAATAACGTCCAACTCTGTATGTAGCGTGTACGCGAGTTGTGCGTGTAAACGTACGATGTATATTGTAAACGGAATAACGAATTATATTTTATAATCGTGAAATGTTTAAATTTAAAATCATTGGTCTGCCGAGACTCGCAGATGCAAAATATGACGGAAATAAAATACAGTTATTCGAAAAACGATAAGAAACTCGTATCATTGTTAACTGGCAGTTATCTCGAACATTTAAAATTGTACCGCGGTTCTGTGGCTATATCCGTTCACAATCGTACTCTATTGTGTAGCAGTGTCAACAAATATGATATAATTGTTTTATTTAGTGTATGAGAAAAAAAATCGGAACGGTGCGAAATCCCACAGAAAACTCGCGTGCTCGACTGAATGCAATTCACACGAATTATCACCTTTGTCTCGATTAGAATCGATTATATTGCATTGGTATAATAATATGATATTCATAATAGAATTTCGGTTTTAATTAAATGCTCATTGCAACACGTATAATTAAAATGCAAATTTACCGTTTGAAAAATATCGCTACGTCTGACTGTATGACCGATACTTCAGAATTATCATACTCAAGACCGATGTTTTTCGATCAGCTATACGCCGCGGCGTCCGATCAACCAACACGTTGTGTCTACAAACAGCGAGATCACTGTTTCGGTACGAATATGACGAAATTCAAATCAAAGGTAAAATATAATCATTTTTTTTTTGTTTTTTCAACGGCGATTTCGTTCTATAGGTTATGTAGTAGTCCTTCCGTGAGAAATTATAAATATTTTTTCGCGAGAGAAACCCGTGATTTTTATAGGCGCATTATTAAAAAAATAACGATGGTCGGGAACGTCTTTTGGCGACGTTCGCGATGTCCTGTGGCTTTCCTCCCACCCACTCCCCGGAAAGATTGAAAATTATTGTTTATTTTTTACGATTCCTTATGCGGTTTTACGTTTTTTTATCCCGCGCACGATATCGAACAAGATTGTACACATATTCTATTTAAACGGAAGTTGTATATGCGCTCTTCAATCGAACCGTGAAACCAAATATGCGTTTGAGTTGTTTACGGCCGCGGCACCGGAATAAAATCGCGGCGGAGTAGTAAATATTTGCTCCGTGTCAAACGCAGAGAGGTAATCCAATTTCGGTTACTGTTGTTTACGATCGACTAATTTTTGTGTATTTTGTATGGAAAACGATCGTAAAAAAAAAAAAATAAATAATAATAATAAATAGAATAAGAGTCGCGTGCCCGCTTTTTCCCGTACGTATTTTTCACTCGTGTACACACACCCTCCGGTCGCCCGTTTCTATTTTCGCCGATGTTTACCACAGTATAATATTAAAATACACGAGTAAGGTCCACGCAGTGCCGCACACCAATTACGCGCGCGTACACCGCGTTACCGTCTCGAACGTTTCCCCGGGAAGCCCTTTGACATCGTATTTTATCGTATCGGATCATTTTTTTATCATCATTATTTTTTATGCATTCGTATACATATTTATAAATATACAGTAAGTTCCCGTTACAACGAACTCCCAATGGACCGATTTCTTTTTCCGTTGTAACGAAATTTCGAAAATTCGAATATTTGTACACCGTAACAAACTTACGCGCGTCGCGTATGTTTTACGTTTATTACGTCGTGTTACGAATATCGCGTTCGACCCGTACGCGTATTTACGGATCCTGTATCCGCGTTCGGTCCGGAGCGGATTTTTTCTGCAAAACACGCGACCCGTCGACCCACAGGTTTTCGGTTTACACTCGGGACGCTATTACTGCCTCGGAGCGATGCACACGGTTTCAACCGACAGGGCAGGTACTGTAGTACTGTGCGGAGCTAATAGAAGTTTTTCGTTTCTATCGTTCGGCCGAACCCGGGGGGTGAGGGGGAGGGAGGATTAATCGACTACCTATAATAGACACTGCAGTATAGTAGAGAACGTATAGATAATAATTAAACGGAGGTCAATTGATACGGCGGCCATTTTTCGTCCGAACATCCCCCCGCCCCGGTTTTGCGTTTGAAATCGAATTTTAAATTCCGAGTGGAGCGAAGAAGCTTGTGGTTTTACAATGATACTTATTTTTTTTTATCGGACAAATTTTCAATCAGCAATTTCGCTCCGATTTACAATGACAGCATATTTTCTAGAAGAAAATCTGACAGGAAAGGTACTTTAAAAAGGTCAATTGATATTTTTCTAGAGTTTTCTCGATAAAATAGAAAAACCATAGGAAAAACGGGAAAATAGGTAAAATATTTAACAAATATTATTAAAGAAAATATGTAATGCACGTGTAATTATTTTACCAAAATATGACATAGTATATATTGTTGACAAAACAACACTATCAACCAAACTCCGCTCAGAATCGTTTTTACATTAATAATAGTTAACCGTTGCGTACAGATGTACACGAATTTCCCTTCTACTATCTTCCCAACTTTTCAGCTATAACAGTGGCTGCAACCGCCTTTATTATCCTAGCACAACTTTTTTTTTGTTGTTCGTCGCATTCCCCATTTGATTACTGCGCGTAACGAAAATTTGATAGAGAAGATATCGCCTTTTTTTTGTTACTTTTTTTTATTTAGTATGAAACACATATTAACATCCTTCCCCTCCTCCATAGGTGAATGATTCATAAAGCTCACTCATTTTTTACCTAATATATTAAAATTCCGATTTTCGGGATTTTTAATTGTTGTTAATGTCGTTAATTTCGAATAATCAAATTATTCTCAGCGTTTAAAGAACATCCGGTGCCGATACCAACTTTTTAAAAATATTATTCTCTGTGCCTACGTGCGTTTTTTCATTTAGAATAAATCTACGCGGGAATCGAAAACGTTGTAATATTTTACGACAATATTCGTCGTAAAATACGTAAGTATAATATATATTATAGCTTTAGATATTAGCAATAATAATACGCGTACCTATGTAATATAAATTATAATGGACCGATATATTATGGCGATACAATAATATAAGTTTTATCGTAATAACTCGGCTTTTCGATATAGTCGTATAGACTTTTTATTTTTATTTTTAAGACGGCGCGGCGTCTGAAAAATACGGTACGTAACGACCAATAAAAAAACCGTTCGTATTGCTAACCCCCGCCGCCGCCGCCACGACCGTAAGTATATTATACAGGGACTCTGTTTCGCTGGAAGATTGACAGAGAAAAAAATGAAATGAAATATTTAAAAGGACGAAATTTATACGGCGTGTTCGCGTTTTTAGATGACACTGAATATCTGAACAAGGTGATCTTGAATTTGAATTTAAGGTTTTCGGGAGTCGATAGGGAGCATTGGAATTCTCGAGTGTAAATTTAAATTTGTTTGACCCTTTCAGTGAACGCGTGTACAACACGAATTACTTTTGTAAAAACTGTAAAACCTTTTTTTCCTCTTCAAATATTGATATATGTAAGTTTATGCATTTTTACCGTATAAAATGTCCAATCAATATCAATATTATATACCTGATTAAAAATAGAACTAGTCTATGACTTAAAAAACCCGAGAATAATCCATGACACCTAATTAAATTTTTCTATTCATTCATATATGATAAAAAATATGGCTATGCGAAATTTAGGTTTCATTATGCGTACCTGTTGTTAGTTTCTGATCCTATTTCACTAAAACTACTTTATTTCTCTTCAGTTCGTACAAACCCAGAACACTGTCCATTAGTGTGGTTGAATAATACACTTCAACAAAACATAACGATAGAACCGGTCCGAAATAATTGTTTAAGATTCGTTTCTTTTAAATTTAATATTTTTAGGCAAACTCACAGTTCGTTAAAAAAACGCCGCACGCTTCTGCTATTGAAATTTTTACACGAATTGTTAACTGGCGTTCTCGACTGTCCGGAGTTGTCGTCTTTAATCCATTTCAGAACGAATCGCCTTAATACCGGAAACCCCTTGCCGTTTCACCCCGTTTCCTCAAATAAAAATTATATTTTAAATTCCCCTCCTAACATTTCGATGAACGCTGGTAATAACCTATGCGTTATGATTTTATCCAATATTTAACTGTTCGTAATTTATCCATAATTTTAGTATTTATTAGTTCGGGACGTGTGTTTCTAATTGACTCGATAAAACTTAATTTTACATTATTACTCGCCACGGTATCACATTATGAAACAGGACGCTGGTCCGTTTACGTTTGTAAAATGAAACAAAATACAAACGTCGAGCTGTATATTTCGAATACCGCCATTGCCCGATGGCGTTCCCTCCGAAATGACGTTCTCTGTGCGCTCCATAACGCCTAGACACGTTCGCTCGATAATCGAATTTAAGCTGGTTTTACTCACAACTCCGCGGCGCGAGCATTGCGCGCAGTTGTATCGGGACGGTGCGGACGCGGTACTCTTGAGGAAACACCGAGCGTCGCCCGAAAACGCGCACAACAATGCGAATACTCGCGCATTGTGGTGATACCCGCGACGGTTAAGGTCCGAAACGTCGTAAATCTCGTACGGCCGCGGGGCGGACAAATAAAAATCCGGCCGTATGACACTAATAATAATAACGTCATAATCTCACGGGCGCGATAACAACAACGTCGTAACGCGTAAAAACGGATCGTTATAATAACAACAATAATAATAATAATATTATGCGTGCGGAATACACGGTTTTCGACGACGCGATTGTGCGGACGGTTACGGCGCGGCGTGGCGGACGGGGGGTTGGCGGCAGGTATATTACGCTCGAACCGGTAAACCGTTCCGACCGGGCACAATGGCGATTTATTGTTACTGTCGTCGTTATTATTACTATTACGCGATGTTTAGTACCGGGGAAAAAAAAAACGAAAAACGAAAAAGAAGACAAAGTCCGCGCGTTAAATACCCGTAAAAACGTTTATGCCGGGCGCATGGTACGATACCGTGTAACGGGCACGAGTGCGAACGCCGCCGCCGTTGTTCGGGCGGGTGCCGTTGCTCGGTGGAAAACACAATGTCACCCGGTAGGTTTTACGACGGCAGACGCGCGCGGACGTAAAACGCGAGCCGTTCACCGTTTCGCGCGCCGTCTTGTTCGTACACTGCGTTTCGACTGCCGCACGCGGATAACAACGTTACGGGTTTAATAGTGTTCGGCGATACGCCAAAAACGCGCGTAAACGTTTTGTTTTGTTTTGTTAATTTTTTTTTTTCCCCGCTTTTCGCGAGTCCGAAACGCGGGAGTCGTTACGGCAATACCGACACTCCGGCCTCCCGTCTCGGCGCGTACGTAAAATATTATACACACAACGCTCGCGCGCGTTACGGCGGTATAATATCCGCGTGAGTTATGGCGACATGTGCGTGATGATAACACGGCGGGGCGACGGGAGTGGGGGGGGGGCGGCGGCGGTTAGGGGAGGGAGGGAGGAAGATCTGGACAGTGTCGCGTGTAGACATGACGCGGGGCAAATTTTTGGTATTTTTTTTTTTTTTTTTTTTATCGCGATCAAACGGTTTTCTCGGAGCTCGTGCGTTCACCGTTTATTTCCTACGCTAGATTTGGTTTTCTCGGTCGAAAACGATCAAATTCGCCGTGTAGAACACTGATCGTACATCGGACTTTTCTAGCAAACGATAAGAGCCATTATTGGCCATTATTCGGTTTTATACGCCTGTGTGTGTTATGTAAAACGATTTTGGCCGAAACAACGAATAGTCGAAAATTTAACTTTTACGTTATCACGTTACACGACAACATATATAACCGAAGCAATTTATACGGGTCAGCAAATCGAAAAAAGTTTTTCGAAAAAACACACGGGAGACTGAAATATTGTCCACGACCTGCCGGTGCGTACAACTGCGTATAACATATTTCGCACATTAATAATAATATATTTGCAACAATACTATACAATGCATTTTGTGTTAAAATTAATTTTTGCAATATTGCAGCGCCCCCATAAAAGCTGAGCTTGTGCTGGGGGAGCATAATATAGTTACGTAACAATATAGAAGTCGTAAATCAACGAGTCGTGACGAAACAAAACGAAAAAAAACAAAAATTGTTCGTGTATTCAAAAAGTTGGTCGAAAAATGAATATCATAGGTACCTACGCATTTGCAAATGCAAAGGGAAACCGAATACACCGTTGTCGAAGACTTTAAAATAATATTGTTTTTCGTCGTTTCACGACGACGCACAATAAATCCATTAAATCAAAATGTTTATTTTGGGTTCCGCCGTATGTACGAGCATCGTCGTGACTGCAGGGCGTCACTGAGACAACAATACCGCCTACGAAATAATATAATATGTGATGCGGTGATCCGGCAAAGAATACAGAACGGCTTGTTATTATTATTTTTTAGCTTTTGTGCCGCGAACGTATTACAATATAGTACCTATTTACATCTACGCAGAACGTTACGTTACGAAATATTGATATTAAAAAAAAAAAAAAAAACCCACCAAACAAACACATCGTAGTAAAACCGAAAAAAACCAAACAAACATTTCGATATACAAATATATGAATACAATACTGTATAAGTGCGCGATGATCGTATACCGAACTCGGGGATTACGTACCGTGACACAGTTTTTGTCGCGATAGTACAATATTACAGGTTAACTATCACGAGACGGAGTGATCGCGTATGATCGAAATGGAAGACACGCTAATAGAGTGAATTTCGATAGAAACTTCAGTGGTAGTGCCTCCACGACAGTAAAATAGAAACGAAAGTTGCATTAATATCCACACTGTAATAGTTACTATCACTATCGAGGTGTGTTAAATATCGTGCACGTATGCTAGTGTGATAGTAGCTTCCACGAGAGTTCGATAGTTATACTATATTCAAGACTGTTTAAATATTATTCTTGTTATTAAGTATGTTTTGAAGCCTACGGTTGTTGAAATAACGATAAGCATACAAAAACGCAAAATAGCACTTAAACTTCGAAATATGCAAAAATATGCAACATAAACTTCCGTGTATAGCTTCGTTATTTCCCGAAACAAATTTATAAGCTCTCATAAACATCTCGAAGATCGCTCAAAAAACATTTGTCAATGTTTATTACTTAGGAACTAAAACGCGATCTATCTTATTGTTGGCGTGTAATTAATTCCATTGACGGAGTGGGTAAACAATTTTCCAAATCCAAATTTGCTGACTTCCAAAAAACGTTTTTACCAATTTTTCGTGTCCTTTAATAAACAATAATACATTTTACAATAACAATACACCGTGTAACGAAATACCCGCATAAGCGAAGGGAATTATTAATTTCAAAAATAAATAATCGTGAAATACGACCGACTATGTAGACTAGAGTGACAGAACTGCAGTCTAAAATTCTAAATCCGGATAAGATTATCGCCCCTCAAACTCGGCCCAGAAAACAGAGACAATTATATTAATTCAATAATATCCATTGTATTTTAATACTCGCAATTGCGCGCATGCGGGAAGCGCTCGTACTAATTTCCGCGTGTAATACGAAATATTGTAAGTTCGGGGGTCACCAGTGTGTATTATATCTTTAATCGCCTGTTATTATTATGGTTTTTCAGATATTTTCAATGTCGGCGGCGAGATGAAATGTACACATTTCTGAAAGCGCGCGCTCGGTGTGAAACGTGCAACGGGCCCGAGTTTCCAGCATGGTGGACACGGTCGAACAAGAAGTGGTCGCCGTGAGTATAACAGCATTTATTGCATTAAATACCCGATAACAGTTGACGGATAACGCGATCATTATCGTTTTCTTCAGGGCAAGAGCATACTGAAACGTCGCATCAGAAACAACACCAGTCACATTAATATCAATAGCAATACCGCTGTTAGCAATAATAATAACAATGAAAGATCGGCTGAGGAGCCCGCGCCCAAACGCGACAACGATAACTGCGCGGAGAACATCATTTCCAAGCGAAACGTGACGTTCAACGACACTATTTCTGTGAAAAATGACAAAGACCTGGTAATTAAGAAACCGTTAAAATTAGAACTTGTCATCGAAAATTGGAAGTCTAGTAACGCGAAAACTCTGCCAGAAATAGTTCAACCCGATCCCGGGATCGTCCGACGTCTGGTCGACGAGTTCAACACCATCGAAGATGTGAGTCCATTGCATCGTAACAATATAAGACGATCATTTTTTTTTTTTTTTTTTACTATTCAATACACATAACTCGAGAGCTGTGCATTAAAAACCTTTTTGGAAACAAATTAGAAAGCAATGCATTCAAATAGTGAAACAGTTCTCCCGATTATTCAGAAAACTACGAAGAAAAAAAAAAAACATACAAATGGATATATTTCTCACAATGGGTGTTGTGAGTGAGAAGTTGAGAAAATAGACGGAAAATTGAATGTATATTTTTACGCAACGATTACNTTTACATGTTTTAAAAGACCATAATATTTACGATTTTTCCTAAGTTTTTTCCTATGTATACATATAATTAAATACCCCTGCGAAAATTAAAAAACTATCTCCTTAAAATACTACATTAGTCAAATTTTCTTTCCGAAAAAGTGCTACACTTAAAAATTGGAGCGATATTTCCGGTAGAAAAGTTGTTCGCAGAAAAAATAAAAATAAACATCATAGTAAAACCAAAACGACCCTCAGAACCTAAAAATGCACAGCCCTGCACATTTATGGTTTTTCATAACTTTATGAATAAATAATAATTATAATATAGTGTAAAATCGCTTTGAAATACGTTATTATATAAATTGTTACGAGTAATTTCTAAAAACGTCTACAATTTAGACGATTCCGTAATCCCGGATTATTTTTTTTAGTTGCAACGTTTACATATAGTGGGATATTAAAAATATCTCGGTTATTATTTTTTAAAAAAGTACAGAAGCGTATTTCGTTTTATATTACAATAATGATAAATAAGCGGACAAAACTTTTTTATACAAAATATATATTTAAATATATATATATATATATTTTTTATATATATAACATATAGTGACGTATTTTTCATTTCACATCGAATTTCGATTTTAACAATTTTTATTTGTTTCGTTTTATACTTAGCCGTTAACCGATAATCCCGAAATTGATTCCGCATTATCCGAGGCGGTTAAAGAAGTCAATGAAGACGAGTCGACGGAAATCCAAATGGATATCCCGCTCTGCGAAGCGTTGGAAACGGTCAACTTGACCACCGACGACCGTGTAGTAACGAATGAAACACGAGTCGAACAAAATAATAATAAAATATAATTTTTTTTTTTTTTTTCTTAATTAAGTTCATATAACAAGTATTTTCAGAAAAAAAAAAATACATTTCTACAAGTATTATATTAATATGTATTTAGTACACTATAAAATATACTATTTCACACGAGTTAATACGTATATTATTATCATTTAAAACCCGAGTATTTTAAATATCCTACTCGTGTACAATGTACATATCAAGCAATTTTTTGTAAGAATTTGAGGTTTTCCGCATCCAAACGGACACAAAGTACAAGTCCAACGGACACCCGGCGGACGAAAATGTTGATTGCTTTGAGTCCGTTAGTACACATAAATGTGAAAATACTATAGCCTATAAGTAGTTAATTGAAATTTTTAGACCGGGCCTTTCCGTAGGCGCAACTAGACCACCAACCTTGGGGGTGCTGAAATTATAGACACATCACAAACCCATATAGACAACACTCCCACAATCATTTTTTTTTTTTTATACGTTATTCATATTTTATTTACAATTTTTTATGCAAAAATGTATCATGGCTTTTTTGATTTGATTTTTTATACGCGCATGCATTGTCAGTGGGTAATTTGTATTTTGTTATGCTCTTTAATTATGAAAGACGAGGATAAAATATTTAGTCTATGCTATAATACAGCTAATTGGGTATTTTCGAGGGTGCTAATTTTAAACTCGGAGGTGCTCCAGCGCTTCACCCCCCAGTCGCGCCTTTCTATTCGTGGACCTTTTTGATAGTTTTGGAGGCAAAGCGACGGACACGCAGTATGGGTACGTTCACTGAAAATTGGCCCGGTGCACGATTATTATGATTTTCGACGGTATTTACTGTGGATCCTACACAATAGTTTTAATTTATTTATTTATGAATGTTTATAGAAAGCGACGGCTGCGAATAAGTCGACCGTCGGTAAGTTCACGTTACCCGACCGCCGTTCACAGAATCTCGGCAAAGTAAACCAACTCGTAAATATGTTCAATTCGAAATCGACGAGCAACACGGCGGCGGCATCTGCGACGGCGGAAGAACACGCATCCGAAACCATCGTCGACTTTTAATTGAAATTCGCCGTTTATAATAATTGTTATATTGTACGTTCCCTTTGTTTTTGGCGATTACGGACATTTTCCCGAGATCAAACCGATGACCGGATACGGACAATTCCGTTTGTCGTACTTAAATATAACGTAATTAAGTAAATTAGGTAAATAGTTATAATATCGATGCAGAAAAATTAAAAAATGACGTAATTAAACGAAACCGTCTTAACAAACGTTTACCTACTGTTTTCATTAGATTTTTTTTTTTTTTTTTACAATCGCTTTTCGGTAACTTTGAATGTCATTCATATTTATTTGATCTCCGCGAACGTTTCATATTATTGCTAAATTATCGATGAAATGATATTGAATTGTTACAATAGGTTATCGCGTTAAACCAGATTCAACCGGACGCCGCGCACGTTAAACCAACGGAACTTACAATCATTGGCGTATCCGAATAGTTTCGGGCGGAAACGGGAATCGTAATTTTATTCGTTTTTGGCGGCGCGTGAATCGCCCGTATTTACGCGCTATCGAAAACGCCGCGGGAAACCCGACCCGAATAAAACACTCCGATACCGGTAAACGCGTGCGGGCACATACCTGTGCGGTATCGCGCCGAACGATCCGAACCGGGGCGCGGGGCGCGGGTGTGTCGGAGAAGGGTTTAACCTCCTCCGCCCCCCCCACCACCACCACCACACCGCGGCTATTTCGAAATCCCCGCACAACCGTCCGGTGGTTTTTTTCGACTCCCGGCTCGCCGCCGCCGCCGCCCCGTTACAATTAATAACAGACGGCGGCGGTCCGTGAATGATCCACGCGCCTAACCGATACGCGTCCGATCCGAACCGCCGTACGGCACTGACGATACTATGCGGCACAAATCGTACGGTTTGGCGCGCGCACAACGGACGGCCGGCGATCATTCCCAACAAAGTCAATTTACACGCGAGATGCGCGATAATAGTTATTAACGCGTACCGTGTCCGATTAAATAATTCGGTTGCGACGAAATAAACGGAAAACCCGGAAGTATTTATCCGATGGCCGATTGTCCGACGCAATGTCCATACGCGCACACACGAGGGCTCAATCAGAAAGTATCAAGACCGGCAGTGTCGTACGGAAAAGGAGCGTCGGAGAGAGCAGTAGAGGACCGGTATCACTCGCTTCTATGGCCTTTTCCGAGTACATTGGTTTTTTATCGCTACTCTATAAAATTCTTCGGTTTGATTTCACCGGTGTTTTCGTGAAATATATTTTTCGAGTTTGGCGTGTTTGTGATAAACCCGAAAGGAGAGTAACTTGACAGATTTGGAGGTTTTAGAAAATTGCAGTTTCGGACGGACGCAAAATTTCGTGGTTTTCGCCGTTAAATGTCAATTGCGAACAATTGAAAATGTGCCCTCGAGTGGCAGCGAGTTCCGCTTCTTTTGGACTCATGACGAAACCGCCAAACGCGAAAAACAAATTTTAGACAAATATCGTCAAATCAAAACGAAGAAGTTTATAGAGATTTTACACGAATAGATGTGCTCAGTATAAGTCATGGAAGCTAGGTTTACAAATCGTTTTGCTCTTCAACGCTCGATTACCGAGCAATATTATCGGTCTCGATACTTTTTGATTAGCCCTCGTATAATAGCACGCATTATCCGTGAAACAATAACGTTAATCGTCTCGGGACGGATAGTTTTAAAACTCGTTTTTTTTTTTGTTTCGCCCTTTTTAGAAAATAAAACTTTCGACAAAGTTACATTCGACCTTACACGCCGAAATCGAAAAACTTACCGAACGACCCGGCACCGCGGATATAATACAATATTTAATATTCGAAAGTTCTCGGAATAATAATAATTCCCCAAATTCTCGTAACATTATCTTCCAGTCGAAAAATCCAATTAAAAAGTTTGTTTGGATATTGCACCATCCGCGTTAAATAACAGAGATTAGCAATACGCAAACATCAAACGTTACTCTGGTATTTTATTTTATAAAGTAGGTATTTTGTTGTGGGATATAAAAAAATGATTTATGTTTACGTCGAAAATCCCGTCGCCTAACAATGTGCACCGGTCATCGCCGCCGTCGGTATTTATTTCATGATACACGATCATTTCCGAGGGGGAGAGGGAGTATCGTGAATTGCCAATGGGGATCTAGGCATTTTTATAGCCGGGAAAAAAATGTTTAGAAAACACGTTCGATAATGACTTTTTTTTCGTAGCACGTGAAAACACGGTTATTTATATTATAACACAATAATTTATTTTATTATCGGCAAGACGACTCGATCGTGATCGGTCTATGATTCGTTTCGCGTATCGCATACATATCACATGCAGTTTACGTAGTAATGTCATACATTTTCGAGGGGGTGGTACGCGTTCATCTGCAGGAGCAGTACCCCTCCCCCATCCCCACTCAGTCGCCCCGTGAAATAAGCACCGGCCGCCGTACGTTCGTCGCGGTATTATTAATAATATTACATACGGTGTTGCGCAAAGGTACACCTAACCGGGTATCGTGGATAAGGATGAACGGTAAAGCGCCGTTTATCTGGATTGAAAAAAAAAGACAAACGGTTTTTAACGTTGCAAACGCTTTTTCGTCGATACAAACGTACAATATCAATACACTGAGGGCGCAACCCCCCCCCCC